ACCTGCCACACACGTATACAGGTCATCTGGCAGTCATCATGTCCCTCACCTGTTCGCATTCCGCGCATCGCATTTCTGCTTGAATATTTTAACATAATTGCCATGTAAGCGAAATGTACAACTTTTATTGTTGTTGTTGCTGTTTGGCGGCTGCTGCTGTTGGTGGCTTTAGTCTTTTCTTTTTTTTTTTATTATATTTTTAGGCCAATTTATTTGTGCCGGTGCTGCTTTTATATGAATATGCGACATTGTTTACGGGCTTAATTTGCATTTGTCTCTCATTGTGCGAAGTCTGTGTCTGTGTCTGCGTTGGTTGCTTTTTCTGTTTGCATTTTTTTGGTTGTATTATTTTCCCGAGTGCATTGCCCCCTTGGTCTATGATTATTACACTCATATATGGATAAACAAACAGTCATTCATTGACATGAACATTTCATGTGGGTCTGAGCAGGGTTTTGCACTGGAAAAAAATATAAGAAAATTCGTACCTCATTTTTTTGTATATTTTAAATTGCTTTTTTAAAGTTATTTGTAAATGTTCTTTATTTTAATCTGTATTTGTATTATTTTTAGTAGTCATAAATTCATATTTCTTACCAAAAGCAAGGATTATATTTAGAATAAGATGAGTAACGCCAGTTTTCGACTCTAGGATTCTGCTCGTTACGCATCTTACACTTTTTATTATCATTAACGGAAACTAACAGTATGTTGAATACGAAACCCCAGCTGCATTGATTCGTATTCGTATTTTTATACAAAAAAATCTCATTTATTCTTAATCAAATATATTTTCCCATTTGCCAGATTTTTTTTGTCCTAGTGTGGCATTAATGTCACTTTGAATTCACTCCCAGATAGCCGCACGTTCGGTTTGGCCGCCTTTCTGGATCGCTGGACGCGGTTTAAATTTTCAATTCGCATGCAATGACTTAATTGTTCATAATTTTGTTATCAGATTAACACAAATTCCGCTTAACGATAATGACTTCATGCAGTTTATGGCCAGTGCGTGCGAAGGATTCGCGGTCGTGCCGCAAAAGGACTCTGGCCAGGACTCTCGCCTCGCTCCCTCTCACTCTGGCTTATCCATTATCAGCTGCACGACACTCTCGGCTCACTCGGTCTCATTCTTCTCTGGGGGCGCCGCCGCCGCCATTGGATTTTATCGCAGGACAACGCTGATTAAATATCAACGTAATTTATTATTCAAATTAAGTTTATCGGCGAACAAAAGGCGGCCATTTCGGGTGTACGGTGTGTGTGTGTGCTGAGTGGCCTGCCGGGTGGGTGGTGGCTTTTTGCTGCTCAACGGGAGCCTGGGATATTGTATGTTGTATAATAAATTTGATGGCTATGTCATGTATGTGGGGGAGTATTCCAAATTGACATATCGCTTTCGCGCAAACATATACATATATATACACACACTTGCCTATGGGCAAACAAATTAGCCAGAACACCATGCTAATGCACACACACGTCGCAATATACACACACACACATACACGCTCCCCTTGACGCTCGACGGGTTTTATCAAAAATGCATTTGTCATTATAAATGCATCGCGAGTGCAGCCTGCACTCAACTTCACGTGCTCGGCTCACTCTTCAGCGCCCGGAATGCATTTCGGGGTGAATTAAATAAGCCATTCATTAGCCGGAAATTTATGGACAGCGAGTCTGTGTATAATAATCGGAATAGATTTGCCAAGATATCCTTGAAAATATTGTTTAGTTTTATAATAATTATATGAGATTAGTTTAATATTCTTTTTTTTTTTAAGAGATTGAGATTTTATTAATAGGATTCTGTTGATTTAAATAAAAGAATTATTTTTCCTAATAAATGAAAGTACTTTCTAAGATGAAAATTTGGTTCCTGGCAGTATGGAAGTATTTAGATATTTATCTAAATCTTTCTAGTATTTACTAAGTATTCTAGTTATAAGTCTAATTTATTGTAAAATTTTAATATTTACAAAATCTTCCTAACCCAAGCACCATCAAAACATTTCCAAGAGCATTTAAAAATCACTCTTTTCCCAATTTTCACTTGCTAGTAGTTTAATTTTCAATTATAAATTCATATAAATTCAATGGCTGACGCGCGGCGCTTCCACTCACCTCGGCCATTATACCACAGAGCCGGCCACGCCCTCTTTGACCTGGAGGGCATTATGAGGCCTCCTCTATAAAGGAGTCGCCATTATGTTGCCATAGCTGCGCTATGGCTAGATTTGTGCGCTCGGCACGGTCAAAACGTGTTCAATAATTTTGTCAATAAAATGTCAGAGCTTCCAACAAAAAAAAAAAAAAAGAAAAAGCAAGCCCATTGAAGAGGCAGCGAGTGTTTGCCACAAAAAAATGGACTGTTTTATATATTTCTCTCTGCTGGCATTTCTGTTTTTTCTCTCCTCTCTTAGGGCCGTGTTTTTTTTTAGGCCTGGCCGTGTGGCCTACAAATCGTCCCCTGAATGCGGTTAAAACTGTCAGGCCATAAGTTTACACAGGTTGAGGTGCGCCCAGTTCCATCTCTCTCTCGTTTTTTTTTTCGGTTAGTCCTCCTCCACTCGCACATTAAACTCATTGTGTTTATGGCATAAATTTGCATGTTTTCCACGTAAATTTTTCAATTTGAATGGACGCTTTCGATCCTTTTTTGGCCGAGGGTCCCGACCTCCATAGGGCCTTTTGTGTTAAGGTGGGATATTGTTAGGAGAGATGTTAAACAAAATTTAAGGCTAAATAAAGCCATCAGCGAGTGGCGAGCGACAGCGAGAGAGATCGTATCGTAATGCTACCGAAAAAGGGTTGATATTTTAGTGGGCCTCGAGGTGGGGGTTTGGTTTTGGGATGTATATGAAGGGGGGGATGTTTGATATGGTAAATTGTTGGAATTATTGTTTGTATTATTATTTTGAAAATATAGTAAAATTTTTTACTTAACTTTTAAATAACGGTAGTATTAAAAATATTGTATTTATATGTACAAAAATTAGTTATTCAACTTTGAATTTTATATTATCGAAAAATTTCCGATATCTCATAATGTTCATGTAAGGTTTCACATCTCTAATGTCGATAAAGTATCTATAAATAACCTAGTAAAAGATTAATCAACCCTTTGATAACTTTTAAATAATCTTAGTATCAAGAAATAACACCTTATCCTAAATAAATAATCTAATTTTTCAAGACTCTTATATTTTATTAAATTATGTATTGAACAAAAAGAGTAAATAAACCAATACTAACACTGGTTGCCATTTATAAATTCTTGAAACACATTTAGCATACTTTTCATTTTATTTTACTGTTGCTGTCATCCTTTAGATTTTTTTTTTTTAGTATTTGCATTCACATTCGAGTGTGTTTACACATTTTTCCAAATGTTTTTGTTCGGCTCTTTTTTTTTTTGGTGTGGCCTTGCAAAACCTAGAAAGCTTTAGTTTAGTTTTTGTTAGTAGCTCAGCAGGATATCCAGGATCTAGTGTGTATGCCTGTGTGTGTGTGTGGCATGTATATAAGTGTCAAAGGCATGTGTTTAGCATGCCTCATTTGAGCGCAAATACACCTGCAGCCATCAATTATGCAAAGAGCCAGTTCCCTCACCGTCCGTCCATTTGTCTAAATGTCCATCCCGTTGCCAGGTCAGACTTGCCTCCATCAGAGGCAACTTCTACTCTGACTCCGGCTACGTTTACGGCTGGGTCTACGGCTATGGCTTTTGGTATTGGCTTCAGGGGCTTTTCAGCTAGAAGAAATTCTACGCTGAAGAGAATTATAGGAATTTTCTAAGGGAAATCTTTGTAAATTGTTAGAAATTCATTGAAAGAAAATGATTTATTTATTATTATTTTCAAATAATTTAATTTTTACTAATTTTTTCTCTAAAATAGGAATGTATTCTTTTCTCTCAGTGTTGTTGTTAGCCGTCAGGCAGTCCGTTGCATTCAGCAACGCCTTTAGTTTCACCTCCCAGCCCTCCGCCTCGACCCAATTTTCTCCACATCGAATTTTCCATTCAGCCATTGAAGCAGCAAGTCAGCCATTCGGCCATCTAGCTAAATTAATTTATTGGCCTGCCCCGCATACTCCAAATAACTGCAGTTTGCATAATCATCACATACATGTCGACACACAAACACACACACAAATACACAAACACATACTTGGGGACTTTGGATGGCTTATAAAATATTTATTCAAACTGCAAGTTGCCAGGCAACACTTGCTGGCATCTGAATTGAGGATTCTCTAAGAATGTCAAATGTCCTTTGAAGGGGAGTTAAGATTTGATTGTGTAAGAAAATAGCTTTAAAAATATTTTAAATTTGTTTAATAATATTTAATTACAACTATAACGAGTATTTTGTTTATTTGGTTTGCTTTTAGAAATTGCTTAGATTTCTGGAGTTCATTTCATGTATTTATAAATAATTATAATAACAAACTGATTCCAGTAATTAAATTATGTAGCTAAATACTTAAAAATAAATTGCAAAAATGTATTTCTGGTCCATAATATATTTTACCTTAAATTAAACAAAATTATTCTGTTGCAAATTTAAATATTAAATCATTATTTATTATAATTCGAATGTATTTAATTTAACCGTAAAACGTAATTTTTTTACCTGTTTACGTACCTGTTTTAGCCCTATTTTGTACCTGCTAAACCCGCACAATATTCATGGCTGAGGTAATTAAAAATCGTTTAACAAAAACTAAAGTTTAATTACGAGCACACGCCCAATTTGCTGGCAACACACCCTCCATTTTACCCGAAAATCCCATGAAAACACTGCCTAATTGGGGGTTAACAATTTCGAAAACTTATCGAACTATGAGCAAGGACAACGCCCAGCTCATCAATTATGCTGCTCAAGTGCCCTGTGTGTGTGTGTGTGAATGAATATCCTTTGGGCATTCAACGAGTATAAAAGGCCATGGGCAGTCTCGGGATTATGAATTAAAAATTGTGTCCGTAGAACAAGATGTTGTTACCTCGCTTCCTCACCGAATCGTATCCAATGGAACGGCATTATTTTGCTGTGCCAAAGTTTGCTTTAACGCTGATCGGTTTCTATCCGGAACAGGAGCGTACTTTAGCTGTGAAATTGTGGAGTTTCTTTAACTTTTTCATCCTCACCTATGGATGTTATGCCGAGGCTTACTATGGCATACACTATATACCCATAAATATAGCCACGGCCTTGGATGCTCTATGTCCTGTGGCTTCTAGTATTTTATCCTGGGTTAAAATGGTTTCCATTTGGTGGTATCAAGATGAGCTAAAGAGTCTGATTCAGAGAGTGAGATTCCTAACGGAAGAGCAGCAGAAATCGGAAAGAAAGTTGGATTACAAAAAGAGGTTCTATACCTTGGCAACCAGGTTGACTTTTTTACTGCTATGCTGTGGTTTATCCACAAGTACTTCTTATTCGGTGAGACATCTCATGGATAATATTCTAAGACGAGCTCATGGCAAGGATTGGATTTATGAGACGCCTTTTAAAATGATGTGAGTGTTAATGTGTTAATTTCTTGTTATATTCAAAGGGGTTTCTCTTAGTTTAAGTACAATTTTCTATCTAAAAATTTAATTAAATTCTCCCCATTTTCAGATTCCCCGATCCCCTACTACGTCTACCCCTATATCCCATCACCTATATTCTGGTCCACTGGCATGGTTACATCACCGTAGTTTGTTTTGTAGGAGCCGATGGTTTCTTTCTGGGTTTCTGTTTGTATTTCACCGTTTTACTTCTTTGTCTACGGGATGATGTCGAAGATTTACTGGAGGTTAAGAATATTGAAGAGATTCCCACTGAAGAGCAGGAAGCTCGAATAATTTGGAAAATGGAAAGACTAGTGGATCGTCATAATGAGGTGGCCGAACTGACTGAGAGATTATCAGGTGTTATGGTGGAGATAACACTGGCTCATTTTGTAACCTCAAGCTTGGTTATTGGCACCAGTGTGGTGGACATTTTATTGGTTAGTTGTTTTACTTTTTATATATTTAACTGTATATTTTTAAAATATTTTATTCTTGTAGTTCTCTGGCCTGGGCATTATTGTTTATGTGGTGCATACCTGCGCTGTGGGCGTAGAAATCTTTCTATATTGCCTAGGAGGTTCTCATATTATGGAAGCGGTAATCAAGGAGAGTTTAGATTATAATATTTATTATATTTATAAATATTTCCTTTAGTGTTCCGACTTGGCTCGCTCTACATTTTCTAGTCATTGGTATGGACACAGTGTTCGAGTTCAGAAGATGGCTCTCTTGATGGTGGCTCGGGCTCAAAGAGTGCTTACCATAAAAATACCCTTCTTTTCTCCTTCCTTGGAGACCTTGACTTCGGTGGGTTTGGTTATATAGTTTTCATAAACATTAAGCTAATGAAGTTTATATTTTTTTAGATCTTACGCTTTACAGGTTCTCTGATTGCCTTGGCAAAGTCTGTTATATAATTTAAAAACTTCAGACTTTTGTACAATTTAATGATTAAAATATAAGAAAATTAAAATTAAAATCCAGTTTTAATTAAAATTAAACCTGCACCCAACGTGTTGCTGAAAGTGCATTTTACTTTTCCTTCCATTCATTTGTATCTTTCCCTGCACCTCAGATTTTCATTTTCTTTCTTAATATTCAACGTATTGTATTTCCTCTTTCCCTCTTGCTTGGTGTGCGTTAATTCGCATATCCTTTACAACAATTTCGGTTTGCTTTTCATTTTCCTTTGGCACACCATTGTCATTATCATTGACCCCCGATGGTTGTTGTCGAATTAAAGCTGCCCTGTTGTTAAACATTTCCTTGGGTATCCATTCCTTTCCTCTCCTCCTCCAGTCCTGGCAAATTGCTTTCTTTACCGGTTGCTCATCACGGATCCTGTCCTTCTCCAGCACCCTTTCCATGTTCATTTTGCCTCAGACTGTGCCCCCTTGTTTGGCACTCTTCTCTGGGCCATTTTCAGTTGCAGGCTTTTCCGACTGCAGTTCATTTCCATACCCCCAAAAGCACTGTGAAGAAAAATGGAACTACCATATGTGTGTGAAAAAATGTAAAAAAATTAGGGAAGTCTTTAAGGTTTTAATTTTTTAAATATTTTTTAAAGTATTTTTGATGAGCTTAGACAAGAACAACTTAATTTTACTTATTTTATATATATATCAAAAACCTTTCTAAAAATGTACAAATTCCCCTTTTTCCTGCAAAACAAATATTTAAAATAAATTCGTTTTTTTGTACTAACTTTTTTCTCTTAGTGCTGCCACACACGCACACTTTAATGACATCCGGTCTGCATCTGTGTGGGTTGCGCACTTTATATCCGTGGCGCAGTTGTTGATTTCCCCTTTTTCTTCCAGCAGAGCCTCTCTTCAATGAGTTGATGCTGTGTGTTTTGGGTTCTTCTCGGTTGATTTTTGTGAGTTTTATTTTTCTGTCTGTTTTCTTATTTTTCTCTGCTTCCTCTCGTCCATTGTTCATGCACAAATACTTGCCATACTTTTTGCTCCTTAATGTTGTAGTCCTTGAAATCCTTTACACGCACATGAGCCTCTCTCTGTGTCTGTCCGTTTGTCCGTCTTTGTTTCTTCTGCCATTTGTTTGTTTATTTTCGCTGGCGCCTCCTTTTGTCAAAAGTGCTTTTGCTTGTAATGTGTTCGACGTCAGGAGTTGGAACCCCTTTTCTTTTTTATTTTACCAACTCTTACCTCGGTGTATAACCTCAGCCTCTTGAGCCTGTCTTTTTTTTTTATTTGGGGGGTGGTTATTTATTTTTTACAGGGTAATTTTTGGATGATAAAATTGTAGTTTGTTGAAAAAAAACTAATTAAAATTTCTGAAATATGTTTCCATTTAGCTTAGACTTTCACTTATTACAAATATAACCTTTATGGTCTTGATATAATTTTTAAAATATTTTTATTAAGCACAGAAAATTGTCCTTTACCTCTTAACAGATAATTTTAGGCTGTAAATATAGATTTATTTTTACCCAAGACCTCTAAGTTTTCTCCCGCATTTCTGGGACTCCCCTAAGCTAAAACCATTATAATTAATAATTTTGATTTTCCAATTAAAACTAAATTGTTAAGTATTTTTATAGTTGCAAGCTATATAGCCATACCATATAGCTGGCCCGCCCACTTGATTTTTTTTTCTTGGCTTTATTTTCGAGGCTTCTGTGTTCGTCGCTTTCTGTTCATTTTGCCTTTTCTTAGGGGGCTCTCCTCTTGATGTTGCTGCTAGCTTGCTTGTTGCTTGTTATTTTTATTTCGTTTCCATTCAGTCAGAGCTCGGAACTTGTTTTTACCAGCACCAAAAGCAGGAGTCCGGACCAACCCCAACCCCAACCCCTTCGACCTTCTCCGCCTGCTCAACCTGCGCTTGTTAATGTTGTTCGTTTTCACATTTTTATGTGCATTTTGTGTGTGTGTGAGGGTATGTGTGCTGTGAGTGTGTGTTTGTGGTGAACTCAACTCATACATCCGCATTTGCTACGCAATTTTTGCACTCAAGTTTACCTACTTTTTATGGTAAACACCCAAGGTTGCTTGTTTATTCTAGCAAAAATGTATTTAGGTGAGTTTAACTACATGTGGATGAGTGCGATGGGAATGGAAATGGAACTGGGGAAATGTGTGCGACTCGGATTGCGATTGAGGGGGCTGGGCAACGGGTTAAAGTGAGTGTTGGGGAGCGGACGGACGGTTAAGGTCACCTGTGGGCGCCCCGGGGTCAGGAGTAACGCTCCAAATGTACTGGGATCTCAACAACAAAAAAAAAAAAAAAAGGAGAAAGTTAAATAAATACTTCAGCTTGGTGGAAAAGGTTATTGCAAATACATTTCTCTCTGTTGGCTTTCCCGATACTCGTAATTATTCTCTTGTGGGGGAAAATGTGCGCAACGAATTAAGAAAGCCAAATAGTTCGTTATGGCCAACGTGTATAAGCCCTATTATAAATACATTAATAAACACACGGCGGTTAACGAATAAATGTGCATAATTAAACGCGATAAACACATGCATAATGCACACAGAAATAAAGAAAATATATATATATAGTGCATATATATGAAAAGCCAAGGCTTCAATTGGAAATTATAAAAGCTCTGGAAATTGCGGCCATTAAGCTTCAATTATAGCAATAATAAGAAATTGATTTCTTTTTGTTATTGGGTTTTTTTAAATTTATTTATGCTTAAGATTTTAATATTTTAAGCAAGGAAATCTAAGATGTTTTTATAAATAAAAAACCAAAATAATACTGAAATTATTTTGATTTTATATTTAATATCTAAAAGTTGTATTCAATGTTTATACTAACTTATATAATTTATTCCAAGGATTTTAAATATTTAAACATTTTTTCTATACTCTCTAATTGTTAAAGGAGTATTTAAAGGGTCTTTCATTGTTTTATGTGGTTGCCATAAAGAAGTCTTATTTTTATTACACCATAAACTAGAGATTTCCTTGAATTTAGGGTATTTTAAAGATCTTCTTTCAATTTTTTCCTTAAACCTCATGTTTGGTGTACTGCTTGTTGTGTTATTTTTCCGCTCTTGTTGTTGTCAACGAGGGCGAAATAATTTTAAATGTCATTTTTACCTACACGACTAATTAAATTTCACATTTTATGCGCGCGACAGGCCAAGTGAAATGTACATAAAACCAGGAGCATGGGCGCGGCGTGGCGAATTAACAAAAACAAACACGACCAACTGTAAAATGGTGACCCACTCCACCCCCCCGCCCCTCTGAGTGCTGAGGGGTGGAAAATTGAAGGGAGGGAAAAAACATAGGGACTTTTTGAAGGAATGCGCCAGCATCGCCACATGAGTGAAATTTTAAGCAGGCGCCAAAGTCTTTGGGCCATTTTCTCTGGTCTGTCCTAGAGAGGACAAGACACGTTCGTGGGAAAAGGCAAAAAAAAAAATAAGAGCATTCGCGGGAGAGGGATCCATTAAAATTCCGCTGGGGCATTGCAAAATAAATCCACTTGCAAGTGGTATAAAACAAAACAACAGCAACAGCAGTAGAAGCAGCAGTACCAAACACTCGAAAAGGCGAAGAAATCGACGTCCTGAAAGGGAGAAAAAAAAAAGAATAAAACTCGTCATCGTCAGCGTTTTTTCTTTCGCTGGCGTCAAATGCCAAACGCATGTGATTCCTGCAGTCCTAGAATTCCAAAAACAACAACACCCAGCATTCTAACACATCCGCACTGAAAGAAAAGGGGTTTTTTGTAGACTAAAAATTGGAGTTTATATTTGAATTATTTTAAGAGTTGCTGGAAAAATATCTGGGATTTTTAAACTTAAAAAAAACTGTCAAAGAGTTCAATACAAAATATTTTTCATATTAATTATATGAATATTTTAATATACCAAAAATATTTTTAAATTTAAATTTTAAATCTAAACTGAATTACAGTATCTCCTATAGATTTCTACACCTCACTTTAATTTATGTAAAAAAAGGGAATTAATCCTTCTTACAACCAACTAACTTTTCCCAGTGCACTCACACTCACACATCGTGTCCTTGTATGTGTGAGATGTGAAATGGCAAACAAATATTTTTTTGATGTGCGGCCTAAAAGTATGCATTGAAATTCAACACGCGGCAAGGGACACACAAACGTTGCCCGTATTTATTGTGGTGTTGCAGGATGAGACTAAAAAGAGGTGGCGGCAGGAGGCAGCAGCAGGTCCTTAGTGGCGGATGAGTTTTAGGCATGTGGTATTTTGAAACGCTGTAAAGCAATCGCTCGAAATTAGCAGGCAGATCCTTGTTCTTGTTTAAAGCGACAACACGAGGCGGCAGCAGGCAGCAGGAAATTACAGCTGGCAAGTGGAATAAGTTTGGGGTGTCAAGTCAAGTGAATTGAAATGGTAATGATACATGACAATGTTTTGCCCGCGATACAGATACGAGTAAATGCCAGCCAGTAGGGGCTCTGTAACAATCTTTCCCTTTTGATGTGGGCCTAGGGACAGGGCAAGTCGGATTCTCTACAGGGAAAGTGCCATGGGATGGCTTTAAATGTGCAACATTTTCGCATTTTATGGCAGCAGTTATTTTGACTTATTGTTATTTGCTTAAGGATCCTTCTCTGCAAGTGGAAAAAGGTTTAAGGTTTTAGAAAATTTAGATTAAAAGTTGGTTGCAAGGGTTTTTGTGAAGAAATAAATTAAACATTTCATTAAATAATATATAATAGCTCAAAATGTTAATAAACTTTAAAATATTAAATGTATCTTTATAATTTTCTAAAAACATATTTAGTTGTAAATATAAAACCTTACTTTATATATATTTGATATTAATACAAACCTATTTTACTTTAAATTTCTGGTATATCCATTGGGCCACCGCAAATATAGTATAGCTCTCCTTTTATCTGGCCATAAGAGTTGTCTCAAAACGGTTTGCTTACAGTGTTTTTATCACGC